ACGAAACAGAAAAGCTAAATTCACCTCCAGCCGCTGCTGCTGTTGTTGTCTCAACTGGAGCTTCGGTCGAATCCTAAAGTTCAAAATTGTCACAACCTCTCTCTCTCTCTCTCTCTCACTCTCTCTCTGTCTCTCTCTCTTCCCCCCACGCTCTCTCTCTCTTAAAATATGCAATGACAAAGATTCGCAAAAAATACCGGACTCATAGTGGTTGTCGCAGGTGGCTGCATCCGGGCGCAGGCTTCTAGTAATGAGATCGTCGTCGCAACAACGATCAGAAATAATAATCCTTCGGGTTGCCGCATTTTCAGGAAAATTTGGCGTAAAGCTCAAGTTCAAGCTAAAGGACGGCAAGGGGCTCATTTGCCAGCGGCTGTCCTATAGCGTCTATAGCGTCCTATAGCGGATAGGGGTATTTCCCCTATCCCGAAATTCTGTATCTCGAAACACCCAATCCCGAAATTCCGCTTTCGAGACTCTCATCCGAAACTCTCTATCCCGAAAACTCTCTATCCCGAAAACTCTCTATCCCGAAAACTCTCGATCCCGAAAACTCTCTATCCCGAAACTCCATATCCCGAAACAAGCTAGCTAGCTTTAACGTACCGAACACCAGACTAGATCTTTTGAAGTAAATAGTTTTCCGCTATTTTTCGGTTTCGGAAATTGATAAAATGATTTTCCGATGCCTTCAAGGATGTAGGGCGTTAGGAAACGTAAAATACTGAGTTTCGGGATATGGAGTTTCGGGATAGAGAGTTTTCGGGATAGAGAGTTTTCGGGATAAAGAGTTTTCGGGATAGAGCTTTTCGGGATAGAGAGTTTTCGGGATAGAGAGTTTTCGGGATAGAGAGTTTCGGGATTGGGAGTTTCGGGATACAGAATTTCGGGATTGGGTGTTTCGGGATACAGAATTTCGGGATAGAGAGCGGTATTCGCTCAAGTTCAAGCTAAAGGACGGCAAGGGAGCTCATTTTTGCCAAGCGGCTGTCCTATAGCGTCTAGGTCGCATTAGTCCATCAATCTGCTTTCCAAAACGACACCTCATGCCTTTTTGAGGCTGATATTTCGATCAGCCGATCGACCTGGCGGCGCGGGTGTTCGTTTTCACGCGCTCTGCCGACGCGGATTTCCGGTTTTCGTGAAATGTTCGCACCGTTGCGCCATTAATTCGGAATCCAAACCGATTCAGATATGCTGCATGCGTGCAGGCTGTCCGGAATTTCAAACGATCGGGCTATTAATATGTTCAGGCCTAAGGGTATATATAAGTTAATTATATTATGACTGAGACCGGGCCTGATGACTTTATTAAGGCCGTCATTAAACGCAATTTTATTGGATTTAGACTTTTGCAACGGCGAGACAAATCACGGTATCATCCTCGTCAAACGGGATCAATTCGTCTCCGTCCGGGTAGCGCGGATCGCCCCTGATCTTGTAGTAGAGCTTCTGGTGGACGCAGTAAACTTCGGCTCCCACGTAGTCCTTCCCCTTCGCGTCCTTGATAACCACGGGGAGGTGGCCGGACATACAACTACAATTTGTTGGCCCTAACGTCCCTCATTGGCACAAAAGTCGGTTCTGGACTGTTAGTGGGGGGGGGGGGTATTTTTCTAATGTTGATAATAGTTTGAAATTGCTAGAAAGGTGTAAAAAAAATTTTTAACATTGTGAAAATTCAAAATCAGTACCTTTTTGGACATATTTCATATATTTTTGACGGAAAATCAAAAACTCCGAAGATATTAATTTTGGTTGTTTTTATATTGTTTTTATGTCTAAAAACTATGTAAACGGCTATACTAATGGTTTATATTTTGTTATAGGGCCGTAGAGAATCACAGGGAAAAATTTGGTCCCCCCACTAACAGCCCAGAATCCAAAAACCCACGTCTGAACACATTCTCCGCTAGGTGTAAGCATGCGCATCCAATCGTCAGGTGGGAAGGTGCAGTTGCCGACCCAGTAGCCAGACACTTCGGTGATTTTCCCCGTACAATCTCCCGGATAGGGAAATGCCTTTGGTATCGGGCATCCCTCGCATACTAAAATCCGGATAATACGTATGAATATATAATAGATCTTACATGATTTGGTGCATGCAGCGCCAACAAGGCCAGGCACGGCAAAAAGTGCCAGGGCGAGAATCAGGCCCAGCATTACGGAATTCACGGTGGAGCGCTTTAAGGGACTAGCAAGGGTTTCCCGAGGCTACAAAATGGTCTCGGATGCGCATTTATAGCGTAAACCGCACATTTTCCAACCTGCGAAACGTGATTTGCATCTAAAAGGGCGCTGGACTAGGCTCCCACCAGCCTTTGATGATCGGAATTGCTCTTGGCAATTGTCTATTGTGCGCTCGCGGACGCATTTCGTTTTGTAAATTCGAAAAATCATTCTAGATCACTGAGGCTTTTCGTCGTGAAAATTCAGCACTTGTGACGGCTCCGATGATTAGTGAAAAACAGTGAATTTTCCATATTGTCCAACAGCCAAACCTCACTGTTTTTGAGGCATGCAGTACTTGACTCTGACTACTTTGAGACAAGAAAATAACAATGATCAAGTGAGAGTTTATTGGGCTGTCGCGCAAAATATCTTATATCCAGCAGGCACTGGATTATAATCATCACCGGGGTCGGCTGCCGTATTAACAATGTTATACATAAGTTGGCCGCCCACACATTTCGTCGTGACATAGTATATCAGGTCACCGTCGACTAGAAACGTGGAGCTCCCATCGATGCACCTAAATATATTTTAGTGCACCAAGATTTTGCGCTTTCGCCCCTTGATGCGGTGCAAGGTGGCTTGTTCCTGTTTTCGTGAGGTATCTTAAAATACTCACCTTGAGATACATTGGCCACTCGTGATAACGTTTTCCCAGTTATCCGTTGGCGTAGCACACGCGGTGTAAGTGAAGGATTTGATTGGGTTATTGGAATTGCCGAAACAGTTTGCGTCATCGGGCGGAAGTTCGCTGGGCACATCAACAGGGCAACCGGCGCAAACTTAATAAAGGTTTCAAATTCAGCTTCATAATTTTTACCGCCAAGCGTTGTTGTCGTGGTTTCATCTATCTGGAAAAATGATTACAACCTTGCGGAAAGAAATCAATTAGTCGTGTCAAAAGGTTGTAAAATTCTACGTTTCAAACTCCATACCACTGTAGTGGTGCTCATGCTCACAGTCGTGTCATCATCAGGCACAGCGGTAGTTGTTGTGACCACAACTAGGTGATGGCACGGTAAATTTATCGTAAACCTTTTTACCTGGTGGCTGTATTCTGGCGCAGGCTTCGAGTACCGCAGGCGAGCTAGCTAGCAAAAACACCAAAAAGCTGCCGATCACTCTCATTCCGGAAAAGTGTCACAGCGACGAAAGCACTTCTAAATTGGGAGTTCAAACATATTGCCACTATTTTAACCAACTTACCTATGGTGCGAGCGCCACAAACACAAAGAATTAGCTAAATTCTAAGAATTCCTTCTGAATCGAGACAGAAGTGTTAAAACTGGATTTAACGTCGTATTTTCTGTTGCTAAGAGCCGTGATCTGCTTGGGAAAGTACGGCCACATCGCAATCGCAGCTTTAAGAAGCTGCCACCGATACATTGCAAAACCCGTTCAGCAGAATTTTGATGCGCTGCCCTAATGGATGGGACCCGGTCTCAAAATCTCATCGCTGACCGACAGAGCGTTTCTCGATGTAAGCTGATACGATCCGACCATGTTCGTGCGCCGTTTGATTAGCCTCTTCACACTCCAGCAATTTGTCACGCCGTTCCAGATCTTGGCGCGTGGGCAGAGCGAGTTTCAGTCTCGGCAAAAAAGGGGGTCCTACGGTAGCCGAATGCAATTGAGCATTGAAAGCGTAAACCTCCTGCCAGAAAGAGCATTCAAAACTGCACCGCGAGCTTTAGTGCTAGATGCTTGGTTTTTTGATGTTACCATAGGCCGATTTTGTGAAGTGTTGCAAATTTTGTCATCTGCTCAAGTAAAAAATCGGAACTTTATTTGTTTGGGCGCTATCACCATTTTTCACAGCGTTTGCTTTTGCATTGGCATCGTGTTGCGAGAAGTAAGTTTAGAAAGTCTTCTATTCACTTACTAGATACCAGTACGGTACACGTCCTCACACTCCCCCTCCTTGTGCGCCTTCCCCGTCACCGGGACAGGCCCCCCTTTATGCATTGTTCCTTTTCCTGTCTGCCAAAACCGGGTTATCTGGTCTTTAATTTATTTTTGCAAATAAACGTTGTCCTCTCTTGTTTTACTTATTCATTCAGGTGTCAAATTGCTTTCTGGCAAGGTATCCCCAGGACTGAGTCAGCAGATACAACACCCTAAAAGAAATCATCGTCAATGTCATCATTCTGAAACTCTGAAACTCTACCAGTTGTATGTACACAGGTCCGTGCATCCACCCGAAATCCGCGTGGGTTCCACCTGGGTCCCACGCATCGCGGCAAATGGAAGTCGAATGGAAACCGAGTGGATCCACTTGGTTTCCACTCGATTTTCATGCGTTCCACCCGGAATCCACTCGATTTCCATGTGGAATCCACTCGCGTCCGCCAGTGGAATTCCCCCTCGCTCCCCTCCGGGATTCCGAGTGGATTTCGGGTGGATGCAGTGACCTGTGTAGTTGTGGTATAAATCGCTATTTGCATTCTCTCCGAAACATCAAGAAGTAGTTCAAAACGCCAAACTCGAAAATTGTTATCACTGTATGAAGACTAAGAAGAGGAGAAAGAAAGAATGCGTGTGTATGTTTCGTCATTTTGCACTTTTTCGGAACAGGACTGGCAAGGAGATTTTTATTTTTTACATTTTACAACGCTTGAAAAATATCAAAGCAAATTGATCGAAAATCAACAAGTTTTTCTAAACCCATAAAACCCAATACATTATTTTCCATTTTTCAAAAATTACATTTTTTGGTGTGTGTTTGGCGGATTGGAGGGTCGTAAGGATCTTCGGAAGCTCGAAGCTCAAATACCCATGTACATGTTGCCGGTTTGCATCTGTAAAAAGGTAGAGTATGGCAGTCGATTCTGATAAACTAAGGCGTATAAAATTATAATTTTACGCAAGTTCTAAAAACCTACACACTGCGGCTCGTTCCAGAACCAGTCCTGGCCGAGGACGAACGAGTCGTACGGGTGAGGGCCATTGGCCTCCCTGTCCCGCTCGAACACGTGCTGGGCCTGGAATAAATTTATTATGAAGTATAGCGCTCTTTTCAAGTTTTCATCAAAACCTACCCAAACTGGCTCCCACTCGAGGTCGACGGCATTCTGGGTGTGCAGGGCCTTGCGCACAAAGCCGTCCCATGGCCCCAGCTCGACCATTTGCTGGCGCTTCGGGCCGATAAATCTAGAAAAAATTAATTATTATTTTTGTTAAATAGAATGAGATATTCAAGTAGTTTTACAAAACAAAATTCACCGGTTTCTTGCATAAAAAGCCAGCGGGATTTTTAGGTTCACAAAGCTACGCTAAAAACGGTTAGCCGGTTGGCCCGGTTTCGTGATCATGGTAGAACCGGTTAGATTCTGAGGAAGTTGTGGTGCTTAAAAATGCAAAAGAATTATAGTAAGCCAGCGAAAATCTGTTCAAAAGGCAAGTTGTTACTTTAAAGAAGCGCTTGGAGTTTTTGAAAATTAGCCATTACATAGAATCGCAAGTATTATCGAATTTTTATCGAGTAAATTAGGTCTTAGAGTTGATTTTTCAGCTATATTACGCAGCAGGAACGTAGACTTTAAAATTCCGGGGTAAATTTATTCTGATTGTCTGCTAAGACGAGCTATCAAAAATATCGCCAAAAATTAAGTTTAAAAAGTTCAATTAAGACTTTTTTAGCTAATTTTCTGCTAAAAGATCTAAATGTTTACCCCGGCCTGGCGTCGTTCAGCCAGTAGATGTCGACCGGCCGGTTCCGGGGGTTGATGCTGCGGTTGGGGAGTTCCGGGTCCGGGCAAGCCTCCTTTGGCTTCTACAAGGAAATTAATTGGTTTTTCGTTACTTATAAGATTTGTGTTCGATACATTTGCGCTTCTAAGGCCCGATAGTAAAATCAACCCTCTAGAAAACTCACATAGACAAATCGGGCGGCCTCCTCGTGCTCCGTCCCGAGCCAGCGGGTGAAGGCAGCGTCATCGTCGTAGACCTAAAGGCATGGAGTTATTAACTACATATAATTGTCCGAATAAGTTTTAAATGTCTTTAAAACAGCCTACCGGGAGCCACTGCTGTTGCCGCTCCTCCTCGTACTCCTCGACGCCGCCCCAGAATTTGTCGATCTGGAAAAGTGTGTTTATCGGCTTTTAGAAGCCGCTTTGAGTATTTTAAAAGACGGCTGAAATCTAGGATTTTAAGATTGCAGGCAAACAAAACTTTAAAGCTCGCAAACCCACCTGCTCGTCGAGCAAAATCTCCTCTGGTCGGTCGAATCGGCGGCCGCCGAACTGCCCGTTGTCGCGTACCAGCTCTTCGCGGTGCACGGCGGTGACTCTCTAAAATAAGTATAAAACTTTAGTTTTAGTAAGCTTTTGATCAGGTGAAAATTTGCTTAAGCTAGTTTTAATATTTTGGAAACTGACCTGGTGCCTCGGCGGGACGTAGGTGAGCCAGGCGACCAGCGATGTGAAGGGCGCCTGTAAACGAGCAGATTTTCTAGGTAGAGGCTTAAGATATAGACTTGACTTATGCTCAGCCTAAGCCTAAGCTGAAGTCTACGCCTAAGTCTAAATTTAAGCCGAAGCCTAAGCCTATGCCTAACATGAGCCCGCATGAGCCCAAAATCCAAAAAATAATGCTGCTAAACCTACCACGTCTGCCATCCATTCGGCCTCCATCCGCTTCCAGTTCTGCCGCGCCTCCGCCTGGATGTTCATCAGGAACCTGCAAATAAAATTGTTAAAAACTCAAATTAATAAAAATCCATAAAAAGCGCTATATGGAAGGCAAACACCTAATAAGGTAGCAGAAAATGCAAAGTTTTGAAACTCACTGCATCACTTCCCGGTCGAAGACCTTCAGCGCGTCAGTTTCCGGGGCCTGAAAAGGTATGTAGCCCAGGTAAGTAATTATCTCTCTCTCTCTCGCTCTCTCTCTCTCTCTCTCTCTCTCTCTCTCTTTCTCTCTCGCTTTCTTGCGCTCTCTCTTTCCACTGCTTAAAATCATGAATCCAAAATCCCACCAGGTCCAGTCTGTCCTCCATTTCCTTGACGTCGACGCTGTCGAAGTTGACGACTTCGCGGACACTGAAAAGTAGAATTAAATTGATTGCAAAAACCTATTAAAAACAATTTTGAAAAACTTACAACTTGTCCCAGAGCGCGCTCATCTGGTCGCGGCGGTGGACCTGCTTGAAGGTCCAGCGCTCCATCAGGCGCCAGAACAGCTTCTGAAAAATGAATTAAATTATTTTTTTTAAAAGTGGATAAAGTAAAAATTAATTTTCGATTGGTTTTCCGTCTGATCAAATGCTAGAATAATTATATGGTCTATTAAGGGAAGGCAACATTTTGCGGCTCCTTAAACATTAATTCGAAAATTGATAGAAAGCGAAAAAAAACGCTTAATTGTAAACTGCTCAAAATAGACGGAAGTCCTGAGATTTTGCTTTATGTTTTACTAATTTTAGGTTAGTTTTGTGTAAAGCTCAGTTTAAATTTACACCGGACCTGGCTGGCGCGGGCTGGGGAACATCGGCCGGCGGCCCTGATCGCCCAATAGGCGATCGCCCAGCCTCGCTGGGTCCACAGCCGCTCGTAGAGCGGCATGTAGCTGAAAAATGTCGTTTATTAGTGTTTTGGATGAGAATGTCTTTACGGACGACATTATTCACCGGATACCTCAGCTTTCTCTAGCTGTCTCCTGTCTTGTCAAGCTGCCCCAGCCGGAACCTTTCAAGAACTCTTTCTCAAAGACTCTCACAAAAAATCAACGAAAATCTCCAAAAGAAGCGTTTCCGAGCAGATCCAAAATTATTTCGAAATTTCAAGAAACTACGATCCGCCAAGACCAATAATGATAACTTTTCTGGGACCTCACGTTCGTTAATCGCTATCGCCAGCAAAACGTGGTGTCTGGTAGTCTGAGCCTGCTCAACGCCCGTGCTAGTATTACAGATGTTCCACAGATTTCTTTGGATCGAAATTTGCAAAGGTTTCGACTGCAAACATCGAAAAAACCGCTACGGACCAGACAAATCCCTATGACTTGGCGTCGCACGCTACGTTATTCTACTCCTTTGTTTTTCTGCACTTTAGCTCTGGAGACGTGTAACAAGAGAAAAACCTAGTGTGCTATTTGGATTTGCTGCCGCTATATTTTATGGCAATTTCAAAAGTAAGGGTCAGCCTCAATTCTCCTAGTGTTGACGCTCAATTAAGCTAAATTACTACTGTCTTTCGAATATAACTAATGTTTCATTTTACTTTCTTTTTGGTAACAAACCTGCAACTTAATTCTCATACTCTGTAAAAATCAGCAGCTGTTAACATGAAAGGCGAGAAAAATAACATTGCAGGTGTAAACAGCAACATTGTCTGCGGAGCAGAGGGCTGCTTATTTCAATAGTAGTTTCGAGCCAAGCCACCTAGTTGCTCTGGTTTGCCGCCTGCCTTTCTCTTCATTGTACCGGGTTTCACTCTACTAGAAACGTTTAAATTTTTAAAAGTAAAAAGTAATTTTAAAGTCTTTAATGAAACCTGAGCAAGCGCCAAAATAATGCCATTCCCGGTTTTGCGAAGAAAATTTCTTCCGGTTTGAAAACTTGCAAAAGTGTTTAATTTAGCTAGACTGGCAGGCGGCCAAGTTCGGATATAAATCCGATACACGAAAAGTACATATTGTCTGTTTCATATAAAGTTTAATATACTTTAAATTAAAATAAAGAGAATTATGCTTATAAAATTCAAGCCCTGCCCTCAAAAGTTATCATTTAACGCATGGCTTTTAAATTCTGAGCTCTTTAAAAGATCCGGAACAAACGAATTTGACATGCCAAACTTAAAAAACCAAACAAAACAACAATAAAATCAAAAAACTCACTGGTCGTCCTTGGGCGACCAGGGCCATGCGCGGCCGACGCGCTCCTTCGGGCCGGGCTGCGGGGCGTTGCGGAGCAGCTCCGCCGGGATGTCCGGGAACTGAAAAAGGTGGATTAGTTTTGGGTTTAAGGCATTGGCATTTAAAAGCTAAAAACTTACTCGGGCCTTGAGGTCGTCGTTGTAGGCCTCGATGGCCTCCAACTCGGCCTGCTCGCTGTCGGCCCGCTCCTTTGCCGCCTTCTTCGCCGCCTTGACCGCCTGCTCCGGGCGGAACTTCGCTCGGGTCTGAAAAAGGAGATACTTCGCAATCTACTGTTTTAGGTTAAGAGAGGGAGAGAGAGAAAGAGAGAGAGAGAGAGAGAGAGAGAGGGAGAGAGAGAGAGAGAGAGAGAGAGAGAGAGAGAGAGAGGGAGGGAGGGAGGAGGGGAGGGAGAGAGAGCTATTTTTTGCACGCACCTCCTCCCTGGTCCTCATCGTGTAGGGGTCCCATTCTGGCGACAGCCAGTCCGGGAAGTAGAGGGCACTCCACTTGCAAAAGTGGAGTACGTCTAAAAAGCATAATTATTGTGATGATTCAATTCCAATATTTAGTTTGTCTATAAAAACTGACCGGGCTGCGGGTAAAGACGGCCTGGCCGCCGGTGATGGCCGAGTAGACCATCGACGCGGCGAACGAGATGCTGAAATTTGAAAATTAATTTGTGCTTTCTTAAGAGTAAAGCAGCAGATCGCTTCTTTGAAACGATTAATACGGCTCAGATATACTGCAAAAAGTAAAAAAATGCAATTTTGTATGCTTCAACTAGTTTACTTTTTAGTGGACATATTTGCTATCAGAGCTCAAATCCTTGTCTTCTAATTTTACTCAAATCCTTAAAAACGTACATGCTGGCCAGCATGTCGTCGTACTGCGTGGCGTAGGACAACGCCATGTAGTAGACGAAGAAGGCCATCGGGGCGGCGGCGACGAACGGGCAGTTCCGGTAGACCTAAAAATATTCAATTATTGCCCGAGTTTACGCCTCACCCAAAGATAAGTCTCAGTTAAGCCTAAACAGAGCCTAAGCCGAAGCTAAGCCTAAGTCTAAGCTTAACGGAAGCCGAATATAAAACCTTGTCGACGCTGGCTTAATTCTAATGGAAAACTGACCCGGAGCACCTTCTCGACGTGGAACGGGTGGTGGGCCTTGAACCAGGCGCGGACGCGGATGAAGCCGGCCGGGTGGGATCTGAAAATACGTTGTTGGAAGTTTTTTAGTAGAAAGGAAGCCATTAAATCAAAAATCCTGAAACCCACTCCCTCCTCAAGCAGGACACGAGCCCGAGCAGTGTCGCAACGCCGGCCATACCGAACAGGGTCACCGACTCGGTCACCCAGATCGTTCGGCTGAAAATTCAGATATTTAACTTTTTCAAGGGACCAGGAAGCATTTTAAATTAAACCGTTTTAAATGTTCTTACGTTATTATCAAAAAAAAGCAGATTTAAAATATATTGTAAAATGTATGGTTACTCACGTCTCATCCGTGAACGTCAGCAGGCAGGTGTAGCTGTTGCCTGCCTGAAAATGCCATTTAATACGATATACGTCGCTAAAGCTTACGAGCTACCAAAAACTCACAGCATTCCAGTCGATGAACACCACGGTGATGCCGATGGTGAACCCGATCATCCAGGGCCACACGAAGCGGAACTAAACCAAATAATTTTTTAGCATGTTCATGTCGAAAAATGACTCTTTAAGGACTCGAGAAGTGTCAGGATCGACCGCTTGTGACCCCCAGGCCTCGACAGTTACCATCATACCGAAAAATCTGTGCAAAATGCTTCCATTTATCTTCAATCCTGTTATTATCGTCCTCGCTCGGATCTGTCGAGAGCTAGTTTATTGAATAGGTGGATTCTCAAGCTTCCCAGTCCCTTTAAAACCCAAAACTTACCGAGGGTCCGAGCCAGAAGCGGCGCTTTCCGTCGAGGTCGACGAGGAACTGGTTCTTGTCGTAGCCGGCGATAAGCTGAAAATTGGACACTTGTATGGCGGCCCGTATTCTTTCTTGCTCTCTCTCGCTCAGTCTCTCTCTTTCTCTCTCGCTCCCTCTCTCTCTCTCCATATCTCTCTATCTCTCTCTACCGAATCGTATACCACTTACCATCAAGCAGTTGTGCGCCTCTCCCAGCCAGCAAACGAGGACTAAATTTTCATTAGGTCCGAATTCAACAAAATCTGATTTCGACAAAACATAAAAGCAAGAACAAAAAAGAACTCGGAAAACTGAACGAACTAAGGACTAACCAAACATTCGGAAGTAAATCTGATTTTAGAACAGACTCATGAAGGCCATCAGGAAGATTAGGACCTGGAACATCTTGCAGGCGACGATGTTTGTCTGAAATCAGATTGGTTTAGTCCACTTTAAGTAAACTTTTAAGAAGTTCACGAAATCAGAAACCCTACTCCAAACAGAATTGGGTAGGAGAAGCAGAACTGCATGGTGGCCATCCCGAGGGTGAAGTAGGTTCGGACATCCTGAGTGACTGTTTGGAGGCACTAAAAATTAGGAGCTAGGCTATATTTCTCTTTTCTCTCTCTCTCTGTCTCTCTCTTTCTCTCCCTCTCTCTCTCTCTCTCTCTCTCCTCCCTATTACCTCTTGATCCCTGTGATCTTGTATGTGGATCGGCAGGGTGGCGACCATCCGGAACAGATTCACGATCTAGAAAAGGAATTATACTAAAGTCACGCTCTTACTCTCTCTCTCTCTCTCTCTCTCTCTCTTTCTGTCCCTACCTCTCCCTCGCTCTGACCTTCAACAAGAAGATGGCCGAAGCGGACGTCGACATGCCGGCGATGGCCAAGAAACCGGGGTTAATGATGGAGGCCTGAAACTTAGATGATTATGTTAGTGGTTAGAAAATTATTTATACTAGGAAGCTCTTATCTAAAGCATAAAAAGCACAAAATTAGGAATGGTCTCGAGCTTACCTCGTGGTCCTCCGGGAACCAAGCTCGGGCCGACAGGTTCGTCTGACAGCTCGTTCCGGCAAATCCGGCAGGGCAGTTGCATCTAGAGAATTGCAGATTTTTGGTAAGTCATGCTAGCTGATGTGTGAGAACATCTGCCAGCTAGCAAACTAAAGTTTTTAAATTCAATTCAAGTTCAAAGGCCATTCATTTTCCGCTAACAAACTGACATGTACGTACGCAACTTCTTTAACCCTTACTCAGGTCCATAGGCCGTGTCGGTACACTCTCCAACGTAGCACAGCGGCGTCACGGTGAAGTTGGCGCAGGTCATCGGGATGAACGAGCAGATGAAGCCCTGAAAATACAAAATTAACTCTCCCTCTTCCCAACCTTCCCATCTCTCTCTCTCTCTCTCTCTCTCTCTCTCTCTCTCTCTCTCTTTCTCAATCTCTCTCTCTCTTCCGCTCTGCCTACATCATATCCAGCCTTGCATTGGCATTGATAGAGGAGGGCCGAGTCGTTGTACTTGCAGAACTCGGTGCCGATCGGGTTGCATCTGAATAGAAGGATGTTACCAAAATAAGCAAATTTTAGATAGTTAAGGTATCCAATTGACTCACTCATCGCAGCTGGCCACATATTCGGAATAGGAGCCGACCGGGTTGCTGCCGGGGGTTACGGTGTTGATGACTGAAAATGCTTGGATTTGAAGGTTTCAATTTGTCGAGCTCTGTTCAAAACAGTCTTTGGAATCTGACTTGTGGGTGGTTCAGGTTCTATGACCGACCTGGCGGAGAAGGGCAGCTCAAATAAGACGGGCTCGGGTCCCACATTCCGTCGGCGCCGCATGCCAGGCTTACCGTGTTGCCCTCGGTTTGCAAGCAGTTCAGGGTGATCGTCTGGCCGGTGGCTAAATATAGAAGTTGGAGAGAGAGAGAGCGAGAGAGAGTGCAAGAGAAAGAGAGAGCGAGAGCTAAAAAACGATATTTACGCCGCAGCATCTCCTCTGCCGGTTGCTCGACGACGGTGTCGTTTAGGTAGTAGGCGAACTCGGCGGCACTGCAGTTGAACGCGGCGCAGTAGGCTAAAATTTTAAAATAAGTTGCTGTTTTCTCAGACATACTTGGCCTTATGCAAATTGCCGTAGCGCTCTGGTTGGTGCTCAATGCCCTGTACTGCTTGGTGAAGGCGGAGGTCGGGTCAAAGTTGGTCATCCATTGCACGGCGTAGTTGTAGTTGGTCCTCCAGGTGGCGATGTTGAAGAAGTCGAGCTAAGGATATTGGTTTTTTGCCGAGTTTTGCGTATTTTTAGGTATCAAGGCATTAATGGCGACTTATATTCCGACAGGATACTATCTACTTGATGCCATAAGTAAACTTTTTCTTGGAATTCTTGAGTTTCTAGGTAGTTTTGGACATTTTCATACCATGATCTGGGTGTTGAACAGCTTGTTCCCGCGCGGGTTGATGAAGAACAGCTCCCAGAAGCCCTGGGCGGTCCTGAGAATTTTTAATTATCGAAATTTTTGCAGTAGCTAATTTGCAGAAATTTTTGAAGTGATTTTTCCGGATTTTCTAGATTTGTAGCAACCTCCACTTTTCCATTTCCTCGACGAATCCGATCGTCATGAACTCGACGATGCCGACGAGTTGCGAGCCGTTGGCAGCCTAGGTGAGGGATATGGTACCTTGCTCCTAATTGCCTATTTTTTTAAAGGGATCGTGCCACATAAAATTACTCTACGTTCGTGGGATCTGTTTTGGAGTCAGAATATTCTTATTCTTGCTACTCTTGAATGCCGCGGTGCGATCAGGAACTTGCAAGGAAATCCGGTCTAGGCCCAGAAATACTATTTTTATGTCTTTCCAAATTTTAGCAGACCCTAACTTTGTTTACCACCTTTGCTCCGTGAGTTCTGGGTGCCAGAGATTCCTTTGGACAACGAGGTTTTGAAAAACTATTTTGAGAGAAAAACCGTCGAGTCAGCATTTTTAAACGAAAGGAGAAATTGAACCAACAAATAGCAAAGCTCGGCAAGCTATGTAGCAAATGCCGTTCAGTATCCTGGGAAAGTCAGGCAAAAGTAGCTAACAAAGAAAGACAGAGCGCCCGAGAGCGAGCCGGGAAGCAAAGCCAGACAAGCCAAGAACAAGCAAGTTATCAGGATGGTAAGATGACGATGATGCCCTGGAAAAACGCAGCGAATTAGCAGAAAGCAAACCCCGAGGAAGTTAGAAGGGGTTGTTAGAGATAGCGGGGGCTGGCTAGCTGCGGTTGTTAGAGAAAGCGAAGGGCATGCAAGCAGAGGTTGTTAGGGAAAGCGAAGGGCAGGCTAGCAGAGGTTGTTAGGGAAAGCGAAGGGCAGGCAAGCAGAGGTTGTTAGGGAAAGCGAAGGGCAGGCTAGCAGAGGTTGTTAGGGAAAGCGAAGGGCAGGCTAGCAGAGGGGTGCCACGACATTTGCGGCCCGACCATTTGCGGCCCGACACTTGCGGCCCGACATTTGCGGACGCGACACTTGCGGCCCGACACTTGCGGCCCGTCACTTGCGCCCGACAGTTGCGGCCCGACATTTGCGGCCCGTCACTTGCGCCCGACATTTGCGGCCCGACAATTGCGGCCCAAAGCCATAGTTAATTACCCAAAACTGAGGCTTTTAATCGTCCGGAGGGCTAGTTTTCTGAACGGGGTTTGATCGCTTGTCCCCTGGTCTTGACCTAAAAATAAGGCTTCGTGCCACCGGGGGCCTAGTCGCTTCGGATGGGTGCGAGCTCGTACAGGGTTTCGAAATCGGGGCGCCCGAGGCGCGCGTAGCGGCCAGGCGCCCCGATTTCGAAAGAATGGAGCGGCAGCCCATCCGAAGCGACGGCCCACCTTGCCTGACAATGCTTTAGACTCTTACTCACCCTCTTTTTAATTTTTTGTTGGGGAAAAACGAGCTTAATAGGACGGGCCGCAAATGACGGGCCGCAAATGTCGCGTCCGCAAATGTCGGGCGCAAGTGTCGGGCGCAAGTGACGGGCCGCAAATGTCGGGCCGCATCTGTCGGGGAGCCAGCAGAGGTTGTTAGGGAAAGCGAAGGGCAGGCTAGCAGAGGTTGTTAGGGAAAGCGAAGGACAGGCTAGCAGAGGTTGTTAGGGAAAGCGAAGGGCAGGCTAGCAGAGGTTGTTAGGGAAAGCGAAGGGCAGGCTAGCAGAGGTTGTTAGGGAAAGCGAAGGGCAGGCTAGCAGAAATGGTTAGGGAAAGCGAAGGGCAGGCTAGCAGAGGTTGTTAGGGAAAGCGAAGGGCAGGCTAGCAGAGGTTGTTAGGGAACAGAAGGGCAGGCTAGCAGAAATGGTTAGGGAAAGCGAAGGGCAGGCTAGCAGAGGTTGTTAGGGAAAGCGAAGGGCAGGCTAGCAGAGGTTGTTAAGGGGGAAAGGAAGGGCAGGCTAGCAGAAATGGTTAGGAAAGCGAAGGGCAGGCTAGCAGAGAGTTGTTAGGGAAAGCGAAGGGCAGGCTAGCAGAGGTTGTTAGGGAACGCGAAGGGCAGGCTAGCAGAAATGGTTAGGGAAAGCGAAGGGCAGGCTAGCAGAGGTTGTTGGGGTAAGCAAAAGGATGGCTTGCAGTGATTGTTAGGGAAAGCGAGTATGGCAGACTAGCAGACGTTGTTAGGAAAAGCGTGTATGGCAGGCTAGCAGAGGTGATTTGGGAAAGCTTGTATGGCTAGCGGGGCTTAGGCAAATCCATCATTAAAGCATCGGACTTTCTCGTACAGCCGCTATTTAGGGTTGTTCGAGCCACAATTATGCTAATCTAGGATTTTCTTTCTAAAATTTAGCTAATAGAAACCCCTCGCTCTAGGCATAGGCAAAGGCAATATCCCCTAGGGGTCCTAGATATCAATTTAAAACTTGAGCCACACTACTTGCATTGGAGTAAGTACGATAATCTTATGTAACGCCTTTGCAGGGGCGTTGTAAAAGGCGTAATTTTTTAAGGTTGTCGCTGTGCAGTTATGAGCCAGCCAAATTATATCCAAGAAACAAATAAGCAGTATATAGTAGAAAAAGCATTAGTCACCATGAAAGCCCCAAGAAGTTTGCAACAAGGGGATCAAGAGAAGAAACTGGCAGGAGCAACGGTCAATAGATACTAAATTCATAGGTGTGCTATTTCTAAAATCGACAAGATGTTTCTCGTCTAGAGCTGGCGGGGGGGAGCTAAAGATAATTTTCTGCAGAAATGTGCCCTTTATCTGGCCAATTTCCTTCCACCATCAAAGTTTTTGGCTATTTTAATCCTAAGAGACAATGCAGAGGATCGGATAGATGAATAGGCGTGACAAGATGATTGGAACAAGTTGGTAAGCAATTGGAAAATGTGGACTCTTGGCAATTCAAAAGCAAGATTATTTTAAGGGCTCCGCCGCGGAACCGAATGAGCAAAAAACCAAGGTATGGGTTCGAGAGATCAATAAAGCAATGCATGCGGAAAATTGTGCACTCAAGTAATTACGAATAGAGGACAAGATATTAATTGAGAAAGCATATTAGAAAAGAATCAGCGTTTGGCTTGTCTTTCGATGGACCTGAAAAATGAAAAGATGCTGCGGAGCGAAAAAATGTGGATGTGACAAGATTAAATACAAAAGTCGACAACCCGTGTTTGTTTCAGGGGATCAGGGAAGAATGCATCATTTTGTGCAGGAAGGACCTCGCTTAGATCAAAAGGCAAGGCTTGGAAAGTTTTTGAAGGGTCTACGGTCAAAAAGGTGCGGTTCCTGCGAGGCGGGGCAGAAAATGACATGGAATGGCAAAGAAAGTAGCTGCGAAAATAGATGGGTTAGTATTGTAGAAAAATAAGCCAAGAAATCAATAAAGATGATGACAGAGCAAAGATTTAAAGAAAGAGAGAAAGAGAGAGAGTAAAGGAACTAGAAAGCCATGGTCCCCAGCCTTGGACTAACTAGTTCCTTTCAAAAGCGACCAGATATTTAGAATCAGTATATTAAGTGCGGTAGACCGTATTACTTCGTGTTTTATATGTATAAGTTTTTGAGAAACATGCGCGAAAGCCAAAAAGCGTTAGTTTGCCGAATTTCAAAAAAACATTTTTGCTACAAAAAGGTAATTTACCTATATTCGAAATGCATCCGGTGTCCAATACGGTATATCCCAATTCAAAAAAACACGAATGAAAATTGTGGAACACATGAAATTGGACTTACAGTACAGCCCGCCGAGGCTGTGGAGTAGGTGCTGTAGGAGGAGGGCAGGACGAGCAGGCAGCTGAAAAAAAAATCGATGTGACTTCGATTCCGATGTATCCCATGACCGCATTATAACAAATCAGATAAGATTCTTACGTATCGTTGAAGAGCGTGAACTTCTGGGGGCAGGCTGTTGCGCATGGGTAGGGGTCTAAAAAGATCGTAATTAATGGGTTGCATACTTAATCAATTTTTAAAAGCTAATTAAAATTACAAGACGTCAGAAATATACTTTGAAACTCAAAAATTACTGTCAAGGATGAGGTCATGCTTAAACCACTCACCAAGCGTCGGGGCCGGATCAGTGTCGGCGAACACCCAGGTGCCGGCTAAAAGAAATGGCGAATGAATGGTGTCATCCATCACTCTCGCTTTCTCTGTCTGTCTGCCTCTATCTCGTTGTTGCTATGTCTCTCTCTCACTCTCTCTCGCGCTCTCTCTCTATCCTTCTCTCTTTGTCCGGATAAACTTACGGTACTGGGCCGAGCAGACCATTCCGGGAACCATCATTTTGGTAGCATCACACGTGGCAGTGCTCTAAATTAGAATTGTGGTTGAGAGCGCTAGATATCAATTTTCCGGTTTCAGCATGAGCCTTGATGCTTTAATTTGGGAAAAGATGGTTTAATTTTTTTACCGTTGTGCCGCTCTGGCTGATCGTCAGTGTTGTCGCATCCGATTCGTGTGTTGTCCATTCCGTAGTCGAGTGGCTGGTTGAGCTGGTCGAGGTTTCAGATGTAGTTCCGGTTGAGGATGCAGAAGTTGCTCCTTGCGAAGTTGATGTTCCGGTCGATGTCGTGTCGCTCGGAGGGCTTCCAGAAGAGGTCGATCCAGACGAGGTCACACTCGACGCGGCTGCAGAGGTTGATGGCGTGCCAGTAGTGTGTGGAGTTCCTGTCGTTGCGGCCGTGGACCCCGAGCTCGTGGATTCTGAGGAGGATGAGTCAGAGGCTCCAGCTAAATAAAAAGCGTCATCAGAGTTAATGATTTTTTAGCTGATAGTGATCATATTGTGGGCTCAAGCTTGTTGTCACTCTTTCAAAATAGAAATAAATAAATTATCCTAACCTGAAATGGCTGCAGAGGTGGAGGTCGTCGACCTGGTCAGCGAACTTCCCGAGCTGGTGATTGTAGTTGAGTCATCTGTCGAGGAAACTGCATCGCTGGTAGTCTTCCTATAAAACCAAGATTAGCGACATTAGCGCGGTATCAAAATCATAAAATCAAATAAGTACGTCGTCGCTCCTGTGGTCGTTGGCGTAGTTGTCGTGGTTTCCGGCGAAGCTGTAGATGTCGATCTGGCTGAGCTTGTCTAAAACAATGGTGAGATAACTTGCCTCAAATCATCAGAAAGTTACATACCGTTCCTGTAGACGAGACTGGGACCCTTGGCTCAGGAGTGGTGCTGGTCGTGGCTTGGCTCGAAGTCTTGGAATCCTAAATCAGAATTTTGCTATTTTGTTTTAAAGTTTATTTTAAGAACTTCTGTTATTTTCCGTTGCAATACCTTTCAAAGGAAGTTTGTCAACTTGAATGAATGCTTCGATATTAAAAAATGCCCACCGAAGTCGATCCCGAGGTGCTGCTCGTATTCGCCGAGATCGGAATCCTCTCACCTTCAGAAGTCGTGGTCGGGGGCTTGGCAGTGGATTTTGTCGTCTAAGACAATAAATGAGATTTTTCACTTAGACTCACTTTCACTTACCGTAGTCCCTGTAGAAGTTGACCCTGTTGAACCTGTCGACGAGCCAGTCGAGCCTGTTGAGGAGCCAGTTGAGCCAGTAGACGATCCAGTACTACCGCTTGTCCAGCCTCCGCTCGTCGTCCCCGTAGATGAAGATCCAGATGATGATGAGCCAGACGATAATGGGCCGGTTCCCTAGAAATCTCGATTTTTCTATATTTTGAGGACGCTACCGTAGTCGTTCCGCCCGAGCTTGAGCTACTGCCAGCACTGCTCGAACCGCTTGAGCTAGTGCCGCCGGTTGAGGAGGTGCTCTGAAAACACCTGTCTAGCCCGGGTAAAATTAGAACAAATTGAAAACGATACATTTAGGCCTTTTTGCAGTATAAAATTTCGAAAACCTAAGCGCTTGCACCAACCTGCCCAGAAGTTCCCATCGAGGCAGATGATCCGGATGACGAGGGGCCAGAAGATGAACCGACGGATGCTGTCGTCACGCTGCTCAAAGGGAGTTTCTAAAACTGATATGTTACTCGGTTACTCTCTAGCTTAGGCAACAATAGTCTCAAAATCCATGAAAACCTACCGTAATCGATTCTGTCGTCGTGGTAGGCGCAGCTGGAGAGGTGCTGGGAACCATGCTCGAGGTAGCCGTGGTAGTCGTGTCCTTAAAAACAGAAATTCATAAATTTTAGCGATTCTTAAAGTGCAACGGCGGAGAACCATTTAAAAGAGTCACTGGCCTTCGTCATGCTCGTCGATCCAGTCGTTGCCGTTGGAGAACTTGTCGAACTTGTCGTCGTCCTTGTGCTCGAGCCAGTCGTAGTATCCTAAATATTAGAATATACAATTCTAATCAGTTCAAGCTACCGCAGTCAAGCCCTCCGTAGAAGTCGAAGCAGCGGTCGTCGTGGTCACCGTCGATTCAGAAGTCGATGCTCTCGTCGAGCGGCTAGTCGAAGTGTCAGTAGTATCAATTGGAATAGCTGGCGGTGGCGGCATCGAAGTCGAGGTAGACGTGGTTCTATCAGGTTGGATAATAAGTTCTGTCACAATTTTTTGGAATAGTTTGTTAAAGCTGCAGACGTACCCGAATTGATAGTATGATATATGGTTTGATAGGTCTCATCGAGCTCTATTTAGGGTAGACCCTCCTAGCACCCAAAACTGGAGGGGCGCCGCGATAGCGCTTCAAGAAGTCTTCCGCAAAATCATGCAAAACGGATTTTGCAGGTTATTTCTGCATAGAGCCATTTGCATGCGATAGCTTTACCGCGAATCGATAGCTCTCGAGGAGTAGATATCGATAGATGTTGAGATCATCAAAATCGGACACTGGATGGTCGAGATATGGCCCCTTGAAATTTGGCCCGTTTCTTAGAACTTTTCTCGAAATCCCATACATTTGGTCAACCGGAGCCAAAACTGGCCGCTTGATTTTTGAAAGAACCGGGAGCATTTTGACCAAATGTATGGGATTTCGAGAAAAGTTCTAAGAAACGGGCGAAATTTCAAGAGTCCATATCTCGGCCATCCAGTGTCCAATTTTGATGATCTCAACATCTTTCAATATCTACTCCTCAAGAGCTATCGATTCGTGTTAAAGGTATCGCATGCAAATTGCACTATGCAGAGACAGCTTGCAAAAACACTTTCGCTCAATTTTTCCAAAAACTTCTCCGGCCTGTATCTCGAAGCCCATCAGTTTTTCGGTCAGTTGAGGGTCTTCCCAGGATAGAGAGCTGCGAGACCTATTGCACCATACCTGATACTCCAAAATTGGCAAAATCTGTGATTTGAACGTGCTATTTCAAAAAATTGTGACAGAACTTATTATCCAACCTGATAGTTGAGCTTGCCGCGGTTGCATCCTTTGTGCCAGTAGCAGTCTTCGTGTCTTCAGAAGTTCCCTCAGTCGAGCTCGTAGTTGTCGTTGTTCCTTCTGGAGTCTTAGTTGTCGTGATCGAAACAGGAATCCTGACATCAGTCGTAGTCTCAACTTCGGTAGTTTCTGGAGTTGAAGTCATGCTCGTCGAGTCAGTCGTGGCTTCAAGAAGTTGGTTCCGTCGCTTCTTCATCTGTGGTCGAGATCATTGTCGTTGTCGTCGAGCCAGAAGCCGCTCCATTTATCGTTGTAGAAGTTCCATCCGATGCCGTGGATCTAGTCGTCGTAGTTATAACAGTTGTAGAGCTCGTCGGAGTTGTCGTTGTCACGGCTTCTGTGGATTCATAAGTCGACATCTTCCTCGTCGTACTCAAATGCTGAGTAGACTCACTCGTAATTTCCGTCGTCGGCCAGATAGTCGATTCTTCCGTCGTAGAATCGGATGAGCTCCACGCAAGGGTAGAAAATTCTAGTGAGACTGTTTCTGCATCAGAATAATCCGTCGTCGAGCCTTCCGTTACGGTCTGGCTCGCTGGTCCTTCAGAAGTCGATAGTTCCGTGGTCAGCTCAGTGGATGGTGCTTCAGAAGTCATTGAAGTAGAATCCGTCGTCGAAGGTTCAGAAGCCGGGATCGTCGTGGTAGAAGACGTCGGCGTAGCAGTAGAAGATCGCGTCGAACTTCCAGAAGATGATGTCGGGTCCGATGTCGTTCCATCCGTCGCTTCCGAGGTCAAGTCCTCAGTCGTCGTCGGCTCTTCAAAGTTGTAGTTAGCTCAGACGTCGTATCCGAACTCTTCGGCTCCGAGGTCGTCTTTGAAGTCGTAGTACTTGTCGAACTCGCTGTCGAACTCCTCGTGGAAATGAGCGTGGTTGCCGTTGTTGTTGTAGCCGTACTAGATCCAGAAGTCGTTCCACTCGTTGCTCCGGCAGAGATAGAAGGGCTCGAGGTCCCGCTCGTCGAGGCTGAGCTTGTTGAGCTTGATTCAGAAGTCTGCTCTTCCGTTGCGTTAGTACCAGCAGTTGCACTAGTCGTCATTGTCGAGCTGTCCGAGGTATCAGAAGTGGATTCGGTAGCATTCGTAGATTCCGTAAAATTTCCAGAGCCGGTCGTCTCATCAAAATCTGAAGAACTTCCAGGTGACCGAGTGGGAATGCCAGGCCAAGTACGTCCACGGATTTCCGTAGCTTTTGGTCGAAGATGGTGCTTCAGTCGTTGTCGTAGCCGAAGTTGTCGTTGAGGTCATAGACGAACTCGTGCTCGTTGTGCTTGTCGTCGGGAGTGCTGCTCTCATCAGCATCTCGTTTTTCCGTCACCCCATTCTCACTCGTCGTTTCCAGCGTGCTCGTCAGGGTAGTCGTTGTCGTCACTTTCGGCGTCGTTGAGGTAGAGCTTGTCGAAACCGTAGTCGTCGGCTTTGTGCTAGTTGATGGAGTACTCGTGCTCGTTGTTGCCGTGCCGCTGGTGCTCGTTGAACTTGACGAGGTGCTCGGCTCCTTGGTCGTGGAAGCCGACGCGCTCGGCTCCTTCGTCGTCGATTTCGACGTGCTCGGCTTCGTAGTCGTTGTAGTGGCAGTCGTCTTCGTGGAAGTTTTCCTCGTTGTCGTCGCGGTTGTTGTGGTTGTTGTTGTCGTCGTCGTCGTCGTCGTCGTCGTCGTCGTCGTCGTGGTTGTCGTCGGCGTCGTCGTCGTTACATTTTCGCATGCCATTTGACCGCAATTCAACAAAGAGTAGGTTTCTGTCATTAAAAAACTCTCGAAGCAATCGCCGCTGTCCGCTAAAGAGTGGCTTACTAACTTTATTGTAAAATCAACTCTACCGGCATCTGTGTAAAATTGAGCGGAAAAAACATCTTGCCCAGCGACAAGATGAGCTTGCTGACAAAGTGCTGCTGAAAGTTCAAATACGATCCCCTACTAATTGATATCTGATATGATACCTTAAAAGATTAATATCGTATTTTTAGTTTCTATTTGTTTTTAGTAGTCCGTTCTTGGTAGCAGGCTTGCACTGTTAAATGCGAAATTCTCTACTCTACATAGAGGAAGAGCGCTGACGAGAGCGCGGAATCAAGCGAGAGAGTGAGAGAGAGAGAGAGAGAGAGAGAGGGGGGCGGGAGGGGGAGAAGTGGATAACCCCAAAAGCTTTGAAAGAAAATTAGGTGAGTCCGTACTTTTAATGAAAATTCGGCTGCGGTTTACTTTACCCCCCCCCCCCCCAGCAGGAAGTTTTTGGCGATAACGTTTTTTCTTTTACATTATTGCAGGCGCAAATAAAAACTCTTATTATATTTCTCGACGCTCGATCGAATGGCATAAATCCCGACAAATGCAGCGAAAATACCGAAGACTTTGAGAACCTTCGGCTGTGCGGGGGTGTAAAGTAAATTGTTACCGAAAATTCAAGGTTCTAATTTTATGGCAACTTGTAAAGTTCGAGCGTTCGAGCGTTCGAGCGTTTTGTAAAATTCGAGCGTTCGAGCGTTCGAGCGTTTTGTAAATGTCGAGCGTTATGTAAAAGCCGAGCGTTCGAGCGTTTTGTAAATGTCGAGCGGTTTGTAAAAGTCGAGCGTTTTTGCTAAATAACATATTAAGGGGAAACGTATGTAATTTTGTACGTAGTTTTCTAGGGTAGGGTACTAGGACACGCTTTACGGCATAAGTTGCCTAAAATTCATAATGTTTGCTATCACGAGTTTATTCCTTCCGTCAATATTGCTCAATATACTATAAGGTGCCTTATTTTAAAAAAATGGTAAAGACAAATCATCGAATAGGATGCGATAGGGATGGGCTCTGCAATGACCTAATAATAGAAGTCTCTATTATTTTTTTAATAAAAGGCACGAGCGGCCTGTAATATACAAAGCACATAACGATACTTTTAAAAGGTCGAATTACTATCAAGAAAAAGAGGACTAATGCTTCACACCTTGTCCTCCTCCTACTGAAACTATAACTGAATAGAATACCTAACATGTTTTCGGATTGGATATAAGTTTTAATTATTATTTGTATGTAATATTGCATGCCCCAGTTAACTGCTACAATCGACGGTATAACACAAGACCACATCACTGCGTAACGTTTTCGCCTATTTAGCTTCTCCCACGAATTTCAGCTTAAAATACATAATTTTTACGTTTTAAAAGTATTTAATATGGTATTTATCAAAAACGCGCGACTTTTACAAACCGCTCGACATTTACAAAACGCTCGAACGCTCGAACGCACGAACGCTCGAACTTTACAAGTTGTCTAATTTTATAATCACCAGAAAGAGGTTATACGGAACTGGCAAGAATGTTAGCTCCGGACCCACCAAGCAACGCCAGCAGCCCGAGCGCTTTCGCCCTGATCATCTTGTCGTTCGTGTCGGTCCTCGTCCGCGGAACTTCTGGGTCTTCCTTGTTTCAATTATGCTTCTAACTAAATTGGAAAATTAGCTTGGTTTCTGCAGAGGATTACGACTTCGGAGATCTAAAGGCTGTAAAAGGATTTAGGAAAAAATTCTAATGAATCTAGATAATCGTCGAACTGCCTACTTTCTCTCAAGTATTTATTTTCGTAGCGCGATCACGGCAAGTAAAACATCCTTTAAAACTAACTTAAAATTGTAAATTTTTCGAAAGTTAAAAAGCTAAAGAAAGCCAAATGCCGGAGAATCTATTTCTAATGTTAGAATAGCCAATCGGTGAACTAAAAATTTATGGTGACGTTAAAGGATAAGGCGTTAGATGTAGGGTCGTCAGAGATGGTCATGTGGCACTTTGCTTTACCAAATTCCACTTATAAGCATGGTGGGCGGGATTTTGGAGGCGGATCCATGGCCTCCAAAACCCACGCAAGAGGATGAGCCTCGAGGCGGGCCCTAGGCTGCTCCGCTTCCTCGGAAAAGAGGCGTTTTCTAGCTTCTCTGTCATTCTAGCCACCTAAGCTTGTATTACTGCTTACAAGGAGTGTCCTTTTGGCGTCATCGGCAAAACGATTCGAGACCCCGCTCATTCGATAGAGAATTGAATTCTGAACAAGACTGTGTTGTTCATTTTTGCGGAATGACTGTCCCTAATTTTATAGAATTAAAAAACCAAGCGCGAAACCTTAACAACTCGCTCCCCAAGCACCAATGTATGGGCGTCGCCGGCAGTTTTTTAATTTTATAAAATCAGGGACAGCCATTCCGCAAAAATGAACAACAGAGTCTTGTTCAGAATTCAATTCTCTATCGAATGAGCTGGGTCTCGAATCGTTTTGCCGATGACACCAAAAGGACACTCCTTGTTAGAAAGTTTTTTTCTGCTTACTATTACAGTGCATCGTTCGGGAAATGATCCTAAAAAAGCTTTTGGTATTCACTATACTGCTGATTCTTGTCGATTCCGGCGCCATCTGGGATTCGAATGATCGCGTCTGGAAAACTATCGGGTTGGCAAACTTAATGACATCATATACGTGTAGATTTTAAGAAAAACAAGACTATAATTTTTCGAAGACTGTATCCTTTGGGGGGAATAATCCTTAAATTTTTTCCTTTCAGCGAAACTCGAGGATTACCTACCCCGGCAGGAAATTGCATCCCACCGCAGCCCCCCAACTATCCGACTGCGGGTCTTGTTGGTCTTGATCACAATATTGGATTGAAGCTTAAATAATATCTTTTGACTTATCTGGAGCTTTCCCTTTCAGTGGACATATGAACGACAATACCAACTAAGACAGGGACCGGGCGATTACATGAGTGGATATACTACTCTAATGGATTGCTTCAATGCCTGCTTTAACAATAAAAGTTGCTTAACGATGTGGTTCGCCGGCTACAATCGTAGCTGCACGCACTGGCCCTACACCGACGTTTGGGTAAACTATAACCAGACGGTGCAGCGGGGAGAATACGTCTACGCTAAGCGCTATAGCCCGTTTATTTACGACCCTAAGTTATATAGTAAGTTTATTAATTCAATAAACAGCTTTTCAGCGGTTGTAAATCCATTGGTTTCGATACGACAGGTCTTTATTGGGAATCTATTCCAGATCAAATAGTAAGTGATTTTACAAACGCGAATCTTTGAATAACTAAGCGCGGTGTTGAAAAAACAATCAATTGGTAATTCAATCCCGGTATTCCTTGGCCATGACAATGAACATTCCATTCGCTCCTAACCTTGTACAGAAATTTTTGCTTATCCCGATCCTTGTTCGGGACTTCAGGAGGAGCTGTCTTCAAAAGTCACTGAAATTTTTTGTGATTTCAAGCTCTACTAAAAACCTGGTAAAATGTCCTTTTACAAGACATTATCTTAAATTCTGGGGAAGAAAAAGAGATTCGCTTAAATAAGCCATCTCCCGCACCCGTAACTCAAGTTTTTTTCGAACGACGCCACCGATGCGACCCGGCAAAAAAATGTTATTTTCATTAATTTGAAATTATCGGATTATCGGTGCCAATGATTTAATTGAGTTACTCATCTTTCTTTATTTCGACAAACTGGAAATTTAGTAATTCCTCTTCTGCGGCAGATGGGGCAATTGCATTATGCGTCGCTTGGCGCCCAGCGCTAAAATGCAGCCTCCAACCTTATCAGCTAGGTTTGAAGCCATTCAATTCGTGTTTCCTGCCAGCTTGCGTCGATCATCGTGCTGACTATTCCTGTTCAGGGCTAGGCCTGCTGGAGCCGTACGTTAATAGAGGTCGAGCATTTTTTCTATCTACTGAGAAAACTAGCGAATGTGGTTCATTCATGGATATCTACAAGAAAAGTGCTGGAAACGGTACGTTTTTTCCCTAAAAGGGCCACCTGAAACAGCCTTTTACGTAAATTAGCTTAAGAGGTGGGTAGATCACTTGATTCCCGATTTTCGTATTTGTTCACAGAGAAGAAAGTTTATATTCAGACCCATTATCCAAACATGGAACAACGAAGAGCATGCTCTAGCGGGGTGGGGGCTCCATCTAGCAAGTCGACTTACCTCTGCTTGCGCCTAATGTCTTCTGCGTTCCTTTCCTTAGCGGCTACATGGGACGTCATATGCTTTAATGGCTCTCTTTAAATGTCACTGTCTCCTTGGATAAAAAGGAAAAATAAAATTGAAAAATCCAAATAAAAATAAAACTTTAAAAATAAAAAGAATTTTGGTGTAAGAGGATGCCTTTTTTTAGGAATCTATTATTATTCCAATGCAAACCAAACAACCGGATGGACAAAAGTAGATGGTATTTATTCATGGGATACCGCGCTTTGTTGATGCCGTCCGCCTGCCCTTGAAATACAACCTCAACTAAAACTAACTAACAAAAAGGCGCTTAGAAAATTATTTTTATGTCAAAAGCCAAAAAGTCTTTACCTAAATGTCCTTAATTCAACGTATTCTGCAAAGTTTGATTTGATAATTCTTTGCCAAATCAGTTGTTGTGTCATGTATTTGCACTTGAAAATAAATAGATTTTAAGTGGGCAGAAGCCTCATGAAAACACATACGCGAACTGTTAATGGAACTGAGATCTTAAAACGATGATTAAACAATGGATTTCTGACGGAAACAGATAATTATCGACAAAAAATTAGCGCTGTATCCGTCGGCAATACCATCGCATTTTGAAATTTAGGATTGTACTCAAAATAATCACAAAACCATATAAAATATCTCGAGCATCGCCCTGGGAGGCGAAGACTTATGCTAACAAGGAGACCTTTCTTAGTGTCCATTGATTTTCAAAATGTGACAGAGCCTATTTTGTGCTAAACTTTTCGCCGATTAAAACCTATGTTACAGAATTTGCAAACAGACATAATAAGAAGGTTATGACAATTTAAAGGGTGAAAAACGGTAAACGTTGGCGATTTTGAGAACTTTACACACTTAAGAGCCCACACAACTATTCGAATATGGTTATTTTGCAGATTCTGATCGGTACGTTTTGATCGGCAAAAAATTTTACATAAGATAGGTTAGTCCGGTGTCCAAACTCCGTGCCCACCTAAAAAGGTTTCCTTTTTCCTTGTAATCAGCAGAATCTACCATATAAAAATCAATCAAGTGCCACAGCTCAAGGCGCCGATGAAAATCCAAAACAGCCAATCAAAGTGAAACAAAGGTTATGTCGCAGACCCGCAGAATAATTTGTACCCACTCGGAACGGGGTTATAGGGACCAAGGTCATCGATGCCGGTTCCGACAATTGAGTACAGCAGTTCCCCGCCTTCGCACTTGATAACGGAGTAGTAAATCAGATCCCCATCAAAGAGATATGTTACACCAGTGCCGCATCTGCAAAACTTAACAAATCATAAAACGCGTTGTCTATCGAAAAGGTTGGGCAAAGTATGACTTCGGGTTTTCTCCGCTATGGATTTTTTTTTTAATTTGCCGCAATCGTAAGCATACAGCGCGCAGGCTACCTCGCTCTCTTATACTAGTGCGATCTAACAAGGGAACCACCTAGGTCAAGGTGGCGTTTCGTTATGGGACCCAGCCTATTTTGTGTAGAATTTTTTGCTGATTCCGAACCTGATTTCAATTTTTGCTAAATAGCCCAATGTAAAAAGTCATAGCGATTTGAAGGTCATATATGAGGCCGCGGGAAGTCATCTGTCACGACGCCCAACTTTTTTGTTTTAATAGGACAGTCGATTTTTAATGGCCTATCTTGTAGAGAAGTTTTTCTGATTCGATTGGTATATTTCATTAGTGCGTCACTACCTATCGACGATCACTTATGGGGGGGTAAAACAGGCTGTTTTTCACCATTTCCTATACAAAAAACGCAGCCCATACCGTATCGCCGATTTTTTTTTCAATTTTTAGCCATTTTCAGTTAAATAACTCATTCGATAGAGAAAATTTTTCTGAATACGATGGCGATATTCGTTTTTGAGGAATCAGACGGGAAAGGCAAGATACATGACTTTGAAGTTCGAAAATTTCGGAAAAAATGGAACTTTGAAACGCTATAACTTTTTAAATTGAGCTATTTAGCAAAAACTAAAAGCGGATTCAAAATCAGCAAAAAATTTTGACAAAATAAGCTGGGTCCCATAACGAAACGCCACCTTGACCTTAGGTGGTTCCCTTGTAAGTCACCACCTCTGTCGAAGCTCGTCCTATTGTCTATTCCTAGGACGACATGTTCTACCCACTCCTGAAACTTTTTTTAGATAACCAGTTAAATAGGTTAGGTTTTCCAAATCAATGTGTAAACTGCTTAACCCTTGATCACACTAGCCTTGCCGAGTTTTCAATAAAGTATGTTAAAAATAAGGCCTGAAACTATACTATAGGAGCAACTGATGTCACCAAGCAAAATTGATAAGGCCAAAATCACACACCTTCCAGAACATTCACCGTCGATTATGTCATACGTCCAGTTATCGGTAACGGAAAGGCAGTTTGCGTATGTCCACGGAAAGGCCGGGTTGTCAGCTTGCCCAATGCAACCCGCACCATCGGGCGGAAGTTGACCGGGAGGTGCCACCGGACAGCCATTGCACGCTAAACATTTCATAGAGCTTTATGAAGAATGTTTACGTCCCACAGTCGTCGTTGTCTCGGCAGCCATCTGAAACAACGAATTGAAAGCCGTATTTTTTAAATTGAATGCTACATCACAATTTTAGTTTTGATAAAAATTCAAATTTTTGTTTTGATAATAATGGATATATGATCGTGTCGAAGACATGTTCAAGCATGATCACCCACTGTGTGTCCCAGTCCAAGCAGTATCTGCAAACGAAACGTTAGTACAAAGTGCAAACAAACTATCACCATCCCGCATTTCCTCCTAGACCTCCAAAATTTTTCGATAATTTATAATTACCAAATTTATAGTTTACATTGACGTGGATAAGACAAATATATTTTCCAGGGTTATGGAGCATCAAAAAAAAGTAGCACGCAGGCGTTTTAAAGAGGAAATGCGGTAAAAAAAAACCGGAAATAAACCCCTCTCACAACAAGCTTACAGTAGTGGTGGTAATCGCGATCGCTGTCGTAGTCGGAACCGCTGTCGTAGTGACCACTAACCCGCCACTAGGTCACATTTCAAAGAGTCATTCTTGATACCTCCAGGGTCCTGCATCCTAGCGCACGCATCCATTACCGTATTCGGCAGCGATGACCAGATAACAAAAAGGGCAGAGGTCGTCAGTGGCCGCATGCGGGACGGGCGGTACGGTGGATCTGAAGCTCAATTGGAACGTTAGGCTCCTTTAGAAGGGAGGGGCTACCGGGGGCAAAGTTTTGGTGGGTCGACGGCATGGTCGAGGAAGCGCGGAACCGGTCCTCGATTCAGGATTTGGTCATTAGCCAACGTCGTGCGGCATCGGGAGCGTAGTGGCATGTGCCTTTTTGGTATGATGCGGATTATCGGAAGCCCTTTTTGATGACAAGAAGCGTTTTAGTGAGACGTCGTTTGGGTTTCAGGTTGCGAACAAGCCCATCTTGTGCAGAATTTTGCGCTGATTCCGAATCCATTATATCCATGAATAACTCGATAACTACCGCACCGATCGAGCTGAAAGTTTCTGTGAACATTCTAAATTCCCTTCCGCGGCTCTGTTCCCAATTTCAGGTCGATCAGATTTGAAATGGCGAAATGCAAGCGTGACCTTTTTTATTGGGACACCCTGTATATTAACCAAATTTTCGCAATCGCGATTTTCGGAAAGTTACGAGATAAGCCAATCAGGAAAATCATAGAAAGTGGCTCATTTCGGGACCATAGCTGCTCTCTGGAATTCTTTCCCCCAAACTGCCATTGATAGTCCGTCTAAGAAAGCCTTCAAAAAGCATCTTTCCCGCCTTATCCCCGTCTCCTATCTACTGTGATCGTGTTCTCATCAATCTAGTCTCCTATTCCATTCCCCCTTTTACACATCTTCAGAATCCTATTAATCCTAATTTCCCTTTATTTATCTTTCCCCCCCCCATCACCCTATTTACGTCCGATTCCTCATACTGTAAGCGTTGACTTTGTTAACCTTGTGTGAGAATAAATAATAATAATAATAATAGATAGACCAAAACTTTCGGAAAAGAGCTACGCAAATTTCGTCGACATGTTCGGAATAAGCGCAAATTCTCCGCAAGGCAGGCTTTATCCCAATTTGCGCGCCAGAACTTTGATATTTTTGGATCGGTTTACCGTTATCTTTAACTTAGCCATAATAACATCGAAAATTTGATCTCAAAACAAAACCCGAAAAGTGGAAGGACGAAAACCTTGAAACTCACTTTTCCCATCCGGCAGCGGATAGGCTTCAATTAGCCAAATTCTTTCATAGCTTGATAATAAAAATAAGAGCGTGCAGAAATTAGAATAACCCTTCAAACTATCTAAAAACACGAAAGAATAACCCAAACTACCAACCATCAAACCGATTCGTCGGTATTGCTGGTGTTTATGGGGCTGTGAAATTCCCAGGGCCCAGGACGGGTAATAAATGGCAAAGCACCTGACAGTCACTTTACACTAGAATAGCTCATTTTCATTGATTCACTATAGCGTATTATAAATTCTATTCAATTTTTCTTGCAGTATATTTATCATGGAAGGCCTGCAGCCACTACGCGCGGATTCAGATTACGGTAGCCACCCCCACACCCGGATACCGTACCAAAAAACGTACTTGGCTGATCTCGACGTGGGGCAGCAGCAGAAAAAAAACGGATTTTCAGTCTGATAGCGGAAGGGGCGCCAATGTGCGTTAAGAAAAACGCGGCTTTAAAAAGGCTTGGATGCGGGAGAAAAACTTGATCCGGCGGATCAGATTGCGAGCACTATTGGGACGGTTAGTTATATTATTTATGTGCTCAAAAAACGTATTAATAAAGTTATATAATTGAATAGAGTCCAAACATGCTGTACTGCTCCAACTCGTCGGGCTAAGATCGATCGGATTTACCTAAAAACCCCAATAAAACGTATTAATGAAATGGCCAACCTTTCATAGCTCATTTCTATAGGTTTTGTGAACTTCTTGCTGACGCCGTCCTTATATATAGACGCAGGATAGCCGGAAAAGCACCTCAAGGTCAACATCCGAAAATCGTAATTTGTATGTTTGCGGAGCTGACGCATACCTGGCACATTTTTTGCCGCTGATCGCTCAGGCTGCACGGAAACTATGCGGCTATCCGCTCATCAATCAACAATGCGGCGAGATATCTGTCTGCTGGATCTAGATTGGTCTAATGAGGAAATGTTGCGAATCAGCCGGGCGGAGGAGCAAGAGCTCAGCGAGGTCAAGTCAGGGAGCGAGGGAGCCGGAAGCTTAGTCCAAATATGCACGTAATGTGAAAACACCTTAACCCGGCCCTGAACAGAGCACGTAGTAAAACGTTATGGCATATCTAGTAACGGCACCTAACTGGGTCATAAAGATTTCTAGCCTATAGAACCTTTGTCATTCTCTTAATAATTTTCCGAAAAGCGAAAGCTAGAAAAGGAGAAGGATAAAGTCAAGTCGACTTTTTTAAAGTACAAAAATCTGTCTTCAAAAATAAAATGGTTGTTTCTAGAGTTTTTTCGCTAGTCTTTACCGCTGTGCATTTTTGTCACCAGGTAGCGATGAATTGGTCTCTAAACAGATCGTCTAAGCTGTAAATAAATGATAAAAATATGATAAATCATAAAGGTCCGGGTCTGTTATCGTTATCCCTTACAGGCCTATCGGATCATGGCGGAATATAACGTTTGCGAAGATCGGGAATTTACTAAAAATGATTGACCCTAATAAAGCGGGTGTTCTGCTATTAATGCTATGATGGCCGAGTACACTTACTTGTAAGTGGAACAACGGAATATGCCATCATTCAGCACGGAAAAGGGAACTAGTCGGTCAATTAGCTTTATTCGCTTTCAAACCTAAAATTATCGGGCTCGTTTTGAGTAAAATGTACCAACCTATTTTCGAACGCGGCCAGACGCATGCGCTTGTTTGAGTTTCGAAAATTCGAGTCAGTGAGTCAGGGCAGTCCAGCGAAGTGTTTCGTCATCACTCTGCAAGGTATTGTTTTTCACACGATCGCTCAGAAGATTTTTCGATCCGGGTGAGAACAGATTCGCGCCAAAAAGCGCTTTAATGCACAGTTCAGGTTCAGTCAGTCACTTCCGATTTTCTTTTCCCCAGCCGTTCAGTGGAACAACTGGGCCCTTTAAATTTTGAAAACATTTTCCTGATTTTGAGAATTATAACTGAAATTTTCATATGCATCGCACCTTGCATCTTTAAAGCGTCAAAGAATCCATTAAAATCGTAGTTCAAACTTAGTATAGTCCCGAAAAATGGCTAATTAGTGTCAATTTAAATTTTGCCGAAAGCTTGTTTTATGTAATTTCATAATCGAGAATTTTTGCATCTTAAGCATTTCCTGAATACAAACATTATAATACACCTAGACCCACCCGGCCGGCTAAAAAAATTTTGAATCGGATAAAAGATGAATAGTTGCTGCCAATTGTATCAGGTTGGAAAGAAAGTAATGGCACAAAATCTTTAAACCGCTGTAAAATCCCGCAGGAACGTCCGACTTGAAAGATTGATATATGGTTTGGTAGATCTTCGGATGCCCTATCACAAGACGACCTTCAAAGCACCCAAAAACTGACGTACGCGAAGATACAGGCGTCAGAAGTTTCGCAGAAAATTGAGTGAAAGCTTTTAAGCGAGATATCTCTGCATACAAGCATTTGCATACGATACCTTTAACACCAATCGTGAGCTCTCGAGGAGTAGATATCGATAGATGTTGAGATCATCAAAATCGGACACTGCATGGCCGAGATATGGGCCCTCCAAAATCAATGCATTTTCTGGATTTTGGTTCGGGAGCTGAAGCAAACGCAGCAGTATTTGGCTCGCGCAGGCCAAAATGTATGGGATTTCGAGAAAAGTTCTAACAGGTGGACCAAAATTCTAGGAGCCATATCTCGGCCCTGCAGTGTCCGATTTTTATGATCTCAACATCTATCGATATCTACTCCTCGAGAGCTCTCGATTGGTGTTAAAGGTATCGTATGCAAATGCTTGTATGCAGAGATATCTCGCTTAAAAGCTTTCACTCAATTTTCTGCGAAACTTCTGACGCCTGTATCTTCGCGTACGTCAGTTTTTGGGTGCTTTGAAGGTCGTCTTGTGATAGGGCACCCGAAGATCTACCAAACCATATATCAATCTTTCAAGTCGGACGTTCCTGCGGGATTTTACAGCGGTTTAAAGATTTTGTGCCATTACTTTCTTTCCAACCTGATACTTGTTACTGCCAATTGGCAACTAGTTTCCAAAATACACCTGCAATATTATGAGTACAAAAACGGATGAAATCCAAAATTCAAAAATTTATGGAAGGGCGGCCGATTCAAAAATTTCCACCAGGTGGCATCTGACACGCATAATTTTTCCCAAAGGTCAATAATGCGTGCATCTTTTGGGTCCAGCTCGACGCAAAAAAAATGTAGCTGGTCCAGTCACTACTACAACGCTTCAGGTTAATTATTCATTCAATTTACTACTATTTACTACCAATTTCCTCTTTAGGCTAAAAAGCTTGAATCTTATCACATTTTTTGACAAACGAGAGATCGGCGTAGCTTAATAAACCCGGCAACCTCCAGTAATTGCTAATGAGATAGGCTTGAAGCCCGAATAAGCTTCGGAATTTTCCGGAATCAAAAAATAGCTCCTGATTTGTTGAGTTGGCTGAAGTAAGCAATTAGTTCACCGGAGTAGGCGGGCTGACCCAAATTTCTGCACCCAAATGACAGTACCCCGATCGACCCCGTCGATTGGTCGGAGCTAGGGCTGCGGCCCAATCTCAATTCCTATTAGTAGCCGAGGGTATCTAGCACTACTGTACTGATATTGCTAACCGCTAATTTATACATTTTACAAGCTGAAACTCTAGCAAATCTCGATTCAGCTGAATCGTACTAGCGTCGTCAGGCCCTAGCTTCCACCTTTAGGCGCTCACTTTAGGTTTTATCTAAGGGTTTGCGTAATTACCTTGTTGATACCGTAATCCTCTTTCTATCAAATCAATTGTCTAGCTATTCAAAACAAACGTTTGAGGGCAATATAATTGAAAACGCATCGAGCCAATCTATAGTTTCACAAGCTGAGCTTCCACGAAATTTGAATTTTTATCAATTGGTATGAG